ACTCCGGGGCCCCAGTGTGACCAGATTCAGCGGCAAGGGGGTTCGTTGGGGGAAGGGAAAGCCTTGACGTGGTGGCATCTGTCCCCTACAACTCCCTCTTCCAGCCCCTTTTTTTCACCCGATGCCTCCCTCCCTGGACCTCGGGGCTTTCTTTAGCTTGGGGTCCTAGCCAAGCTCCTGGAGCCTCTGCCCATGCAGCCCGCAGGCTCCGGGAGGACAGGACCCATCCCTCTTGGGTCTTCCAAAGCCTATAGGGTGGGTAAGTCAGGTTGCGCACGGGAGGGAACCAGGAGAGGAAGTTCATGCATTCACTGTCACTAATGAGTTCTTGTTTCCCTGTGCTGCCCACCCTCCACCCTGCCCGCGTGCCTGTCGCGGGGCACGATCCAGCACCGGCCGTGGGTTTCCAAAGCCTGGCTCTGCCATAGCCACCAGCAGGGAACTGCTCCAGTCGGCCAGCCCAGAACGCGGCCTTGGAGGTCCGGAAGAAGCAAGGAGGGCCATAAGAAGGCAAGAAGGCTTGGGCCGAGCCGCCCCTGCCTGGAGACCGGCGGCGAGATTCAGCTCCCGGCGCCCGCACGTCCGCCCAGGCTCTGGGCCAGCGCCAGGCGGTTGGATCCGTGACTGCAGTTGGCGGGAGGCCGGACGGCGTGTCCCCCGGGGCTCCCAGGCAGCCAGCGCTGTCGGCCAGGCCGGGAGGGCTGCGGCAGGCGGGCGGGCGACGGGAGCCTGGGGGCCCGCGGCGGAGGCAGCGCTGCGTGGGCTGCGGTCAGCAGGGCCCCGCAGAGGGGCCGCGTCTCTTGCGCTAATTGGCCCTTTCCCAGCCGCCTGGGCCGGTAATTGCTGCTTCCAGGGTGGAAGGTGGGGGCGTGGCGGGGGAGAAGCTGGGGAGCTGCTTCCGGAGCCGGGAGCCAGGCTCAGCCGGAGGTGGGCGGCCCGGCCCGGCCAGCAGGGGGCGCGTGTGTGCGTTGTGCCCGCGAGAGCTTAGCGCCCGCACTCGTTCGTCCCCGCGGTAGCGCCGGCTGGTGTGAAACCCGGGGGATGGGGAGGGCGGCTGGGGGCAAGACTCAGAAGTGTCCTCGGGTTTTCACCAAGATCCAGTCTGTTGTGCGCACCGATCCACGCGGGATGGGGCCTGGCAACAGCTTCAGGAGAGACTCTGGGTCGCCGTGGGAGGACCTGAGTGGGGACAGGAGGACAAGGTGGGACGATGGGGCAGTAGTAGGTAGCCCTCCCGCCTCCGTCATCCAGCAGTGCAACCCAGGGAGGAGCTGACTGGAAGAGGGACACCTTCCTGGGTGTATGGGGAGGGTGAGGAGCCAGGGCTGTGGGAGGCAGGGGCCAGCCCAGCATTCAGACTGCCCACTGGGGTTCTCCCAGGCTTGTCCTCCCTCCTAGGGAGGGTTCTAGGGTTTCCCCAGAGCCCTTTATGATTGTCATATCTGCCACAGCCAGCCCAGACCCGACAAAGCCCTAGCTCCTGCTCAGCTGCACTTCCTCCAATTTGGGGAGGTGGCCCTAAGAAGCAGCTGCCCTCCCCACAGACCCGTGTGAGAGAGCAAGAGGAGGGGCGTTCAAGAAAAATCATTCATGATCCTTGTTAAAGCTCAATAAAGCAGACTTTATTCAGGAGCATCGAAATAGGCATAGGGGCCGAGTCGTAGCTCATACCTGTAATTCCAGCACTTTTGGAGGACAAGGAGGTAGAGAGGTTCTCACTCTGTCACCCAGGCTGGAGTGCAGTGGTGTGATCATAGCTCACTGAAGCCTCAGCCTTCTGGGCTCAAGTGATTCTCCCACCTCAGCCTCTTGAGTAGGTGGGACTACAGGCATGTGCCACCATAACTGGCTAATTTTTTTAATTAATATTTTTTGTAGGGATGGGGTCTTGCAGTGTTGCCCAGGTTGGTCTCAAACTCCTGGGCTCAAGCAGTCCTCCTGCCTCAGCCTCCCAAAGTGCTGGGATAACAGGCACGCGCCACCATGTCAGACCCAAACATTTTTTAAAAATTAGCCGAGGCTGGTGGTGCCTGCCTGTGGTCCCAGCTATTTGGGAGGCTGACGTGAGAGGATTGCTTGAGCCCAGGAGTTTGAGGCTACAGTGAGCTGTGATTGCACCACTGCACTTCAGCCTGGGCAATAGAGGTGACCCTGTTTCCAAAAAAAAAATTGACATAAGGACTGTCACAGTGGGGCTTTGCAGTCAAGCAGTTGGGGAGAGAGATTGGGCTCAACTCTGAATACAGCATGGACAAGTAAGAATTTATAGCCAAGGAGCAAGGTGGGGTCAGTGGATGGAAAATTACTAAGAGGAAACGTCAGAGATAAAGGGGGAATTCTGGCTAAGCCCATCCAATAGGATTCTTGCTGCAGCCAGGCCAGGGTGACCAGACATCACCTTGGGGATAATAGAGGCTAAAGAACTTTTGTTTTTTTATTTTTTTTGAGGCAGAGCCTTGCTCTGTCACCCAGGCTGGAGTGCAGTGGCACGATTTCAGCTCATTGCAACCTCCGCCTCCCGAGTTCAAGTGATTCTCCTGCCTCAGCCTCTCAAGTAGCTGTGATTACAGGCACCCACCACCACACCCGGCTAATTTTTGTATTTTTAGTAGAATGGGGTTTCACCATGTTGGCCAGGCTGGTCTCAAACTCCTGAACTCAAGTGGTCTGCTTGCCTCGGCCTCCCAAAGTGTTGGGATTACAGGCGTGAGCCACCGTACCTGGCCCAGGCTAAGGAACTTAATTAGATTATGGAAGGTGACCAGATATCAAGGTTGGGGGGCTCTGGTTAAACTGACTTAGCAGGAATCTTGCTAAAAAGTCAGGCCTAGCTGAAAAAGTTCAGGAAAGTCTGAGTAGAGTTTGGTCAAGGAGAGAATCTTTGTCAGGGGAGAAATCGGGAGGAACCATCAGAGGCAGGCCTGGGCTAGCTCCTGGGCTGTGCCAGCAGGCCCCAGGGTGAGTAGCCAAGGACCTCCAGGTCACGATGTCCCTTGTGGACAATGGAGTGAAATCTGGCTCAGTTGGAGCTGAGCCCCTGCTGAGTTCTGCACTGGCTGCCCCAGGACCACCTTCCGGGGGCTGAACTAGCAGCCCTCACTCTGGCTCCTTACTGATGAGTGGCTGTTTGTTTGCCTGCGACATCCTCCGGCTGTGCTTCCTGAGACTAGAGCTGCCCCATCTCCTGTGGTAGCCATCCTCCTCAGGGATTGCTCCAGGTCTGGATGGAGGTGGCAGGGTGCCTCAGGCTGGCCTGGACCCAATTCCTGCTCTGCCTCCACCAGCTCAGGCCCTTGGACAAGGCTTTTCAATGTCTCAATGCTTCAGTTTCTTCATCTGTAAAATGGGGATAATAAGATCCATGGTCGTTGTGAGGATTAATGTTTGCTTGGGAGGGGCTTCCCCCCTCCTCCACCATCCCTTTGCTTTGGGGGTTAGATCCTGGGGTATGGGGAATTAGATGGCCTCGTCCCACAGATCTGTGCAGCTTCCATTTGCCCCAGAGACTCGGGAACCTCTGGGAATAAAGGACCTAATCAATACTACTTTGGGACAAAAATACTGTGGGACACTATGCCAGTGTTCATAGCAGCATTATTCACAATAGCCTAAAGGTGGAAAGAACCCAAATGCCCATCACTGGATGAATGGATAAACAAAATGTGGTATATACCTGCAATGGAATATTATCCAGCCTTAAAACGGAAGGAAATTCTGATAGATGCTACAGCATGGATGAACCTTGAAGACATCATGTGAAGTGAAATAAGCCAGACACAAAAGGACAAATACTGCATTACTGTACTTATGTCAGGCACCTGGAAGAGTCAAGTTCATAGAGACAGAAAGCAGAATAGGGGTTACCAGGGGCTACGACAAGGGGGTAACAGCGAGTCATTGTTGAATGGGTACAGAGTTTCAGTTTAGATGATGAAAAAGTTCTAAAGACAGAATAGTGGCAATGATTGTGCAATGATGTGAATGTCCTTAATGATATTGAACTGTACATGTAAAAACAGTTAAAATGGGGCTGGGCACAGTGGCTCATGCCTGTAATCCCAGCACTTTGGGAGGCCGAGGCGGGCAGATCACAAGGTCAGGAGATCGAAACCATCTAGCTAATACAGTGAAATCCTGTCTCTACTAAAAGTACAAAAAATTAGCCAGGCATGGTGGTGGGCACCTGTAGTCCCAGTTACTCCGGAGGCTGAGGCAGGAGAATGGTGTGAACCCAGGAGGCGGAGCTTGCAGTGAGCCGAGATGGTGCCACTGCACTCACCTGGGCGACAGAGCAAGATTCCATCTCACAACAAAAAACAAAAATAGTTAAAATGGTAAAATATGTCATATGTATTTTACCACCAAAAAGCCCACAATGGCCAAGCATGGTGGCTCATGCCTGTAATTCCAGCACTTTGGGAGGCCAAGATGGGCGGATCACCTGAGGTCAGGAGTTCGAGACCAGCCTGGCCAACGTGATGAAACCCCATCTCTACTAAAAATACAAAAATCAGCCAGGCATGGTGGCGGGCACCTGTAATCCCAGCTACTCGGGAGGCTGAGGCAGGAGAATCGCTTGAACTCAGGAGGTGGAGGTTACAGTGAGCCAAGATCGCGCCACTGCACTCCAGCCTGGGTGACAAGAGCGAAACTCCGTCTCAAAAAATAAAAAACTTTAAAAAAAAGTCCACAAAACAATGAAACAAAACTGTGGGACAGGCTGGGATATGCACGGGCTGCAAGAGAGGCCAGAGGAATCTGGATGCAGCAGTAAGACCTAAACTGATGGACAAGTGAGTGTGGGGTGTGGCTGTCCTACTGTTCTGAGGGGTGCACTTGAGACCATGAAGGCAAAAGGCAAGTGTTTTGTACCCCAGGCAACTTTGCAGTAGCACCCCTTGACTGAGTGTAGCATCCAGGCATAGCCCACTAAGGAACAGGCAGCAACACTCCCTTTCTCCCAGGGCTCAAATTGAGACACCATTCACTTCATGCACCCATTTTATAGGTGGAGAAATTCAGGTCAAATCAACACTTCTTTATTGAGAACATCCCTGTGGACAGACTTTGGAGTGGCCCTGGGGGAGATAAGTGCGGGTGGGAGAGAAGATCCCAAACTACCAAAAGTTTGCTCCATGTCACAACCTGCCCTAGGCCTCCAGGCCAATGTGAACAGACGGGTACAAGGTTGAGCAGGATGGATGGTAAATGCCAAGCTGGGTGCAGTGACAGGGGCAGTGGCAGTCTGGGTCGATCTCCCATAAGAAGGAGCCACAAGGAGACATTGAAGGGTGGGAGGATTTGAAGAAGGGAAAAAGAGAGGTTGTCCTGAGGCTGGAGAGCTGGGCACAGTATGGTGTTGACAGGGCCTGGCCTAACTGGATGTCAACATTGAGGTGGGGGCATGATGGGATGTCAGGCTAGAGAGGGCAGTGCAGGTCCCACACAACAGGCAAAAGCTCTAGCTCTGGCCTGGAGGCAGCAGGGAGCTCCTGCAGTTCTAAATTGGGGTGGGTAGAACTCTTGTCCCCAGGTATGTCCATGGCCAGTCTCCCCAGGGCCTGGGTGGTGGGGCAAACCCCTCTTTGGCTCCTTCCTGCATAGCCGCCCTTAGAATTGCCTCTGCTTCTCAGGTCTCTGAGACTGGTACAGACTCATGCAAAAAGCTGTCTTCTTCTCCTTGAGCTTCATGTCCATGCTTATGGTAAAATCCAGCTGCAGGTACTTTTTATCCTTGTTGTAGGGTGGCCAGCAGGGCAGATTTCCATCATTGGGATTTCTGCCCAGAAGAAAAAAAGAGAGGATTACATGTGTTCCTCTTCATCATGCTTCTTTCTCTCACCCTGCCCTCATTTAATTTGCCCTTGGGAATTGGGGTTCCAGAGGGCTTTACAGAGATGATACTTAGATCTTTAAGAAAGAGTAGGAAAGTGTGTATTGGGCCTTCCAAGCAGAGCAAACCGTATGTGCCAGGTTGAGAGATATAAAAGACCAAGGCTTTTGGAGGAAGCACAAGTCAAGAGTTAGGTAAAAACAGTGTGTGTGTGGCCAGGCGCAGTGGCTCACGCCTGTAATCCCAGCACCTTGGGAGGCCAAGGCAGGCGGATCACGAGGTCAGGAGATCAAGACTATCCTGGCTAAAATGATGAAACCCTGTCTCTACCAAACTACACAAAAAATTAGCCGGGCGAGGTGGTGGGCGCCTGTAGTCCCAGCTCCTTGGGAGGCTGAGGCAGGAGAATGGCATGAATCCAGGAGGCGGAGATTTCAGTGAGCAGAGATCGTGCCACTGCACTCCAGCCTGGGTGACAGAGCAAAACTCTGTCTCAAAAACAAAACAACAACAACAACAACAACAAAACAGAGTGTGTGTGAAAGGGATCGAAGTGGAAAGGAGATGACGTACGAAAGATTTTGAAAGGCCTTTCATGCAAGGCTGAGGGGCTCGGACTTTATCTTGAGGCAGAGAGAAGCCATGAAGGGTTTTAAGCAGGTGAGTGACTTGGTCAGATGTTATTTTGGAAAGAACCCTTGGGCTGGGTATGGTGGCTAACGTCTGTAAGACCAACACTTTGGGAGGCATAGGTGAGAAAATGGCTTGAGCCTGGGAGTTGGAGACCAGTCTGGGCAAAATAGCAAGACCTCATCTCTCCAAAAAATACAAAAATTAGGCCAGGCATAGTGGCTCACGCCTGTAATCCTAGCACTTTGGGAGGCCGAGGCGGGTGTATCACCAGGTCAGGAGATCGAGACCATCCTGGCTAACATGGTGAAACCCCATCTCTACTAGAAATACAAAAAAATTAGCTAGGCATGGTGGCAGGCGACTGTAGTCCCAGCTGCTCGGGAGGCTGAGGCAGGAGAATGGCATAAACCCGGGAGGCAGAGCTTGCAGTGAGCCGAGATTGCGCCACTGCCCTCTAGCCTGGGTGACAGAGCGAGACTCCGTCCAAAAAAAAAAAAAAAAAAAAAAAAAAAAAATTAGCCGGGCATGGTGGTGTGTGCCTGTAGTCCCAGCTACTTGGGAGGCTGAAGTGGGAGGATCACCTGGGAGGTCAAGGCTGCAATGAGCTGTGATTGCACCACTGCATTCTAGCCTGGGCAGCAGAGTGAGATTGTCTCAAAAAAATTAAAAAAAAGAAAAAGAAAGACACTGAGTATCATCCGGATGGATTGAAAGGAGAGAAGCCGGGCACAGTGGCTCATGCCTGTAATCCCAGCACTTTGGGAGGCTGAGGTGGGTGGATTGCTTGAGGTCAGGAGTTCAAGACCAGCCTGGCCAACATGGTAAAACCCCATCTCTACAAAAAGACAAAAATTAGCCGGGCGTGGTGGCCTGTAATCCCAGCTCCTCGGGAGGCCGAGGCAGGAGAATCGCTTGAACCTGGGAGGCGGAGGTTGCAGTGAGCTGGGATTGCGCCACTGCACTCCAGTCTGGGTGACAGGGCGAAACTTTTAAGAAGATAGTCACAAGGCTATCCAAAGCTCTCTTTACATGTCGCCTGCCCCCTATACTGGATCAGACACCTTCTCTATGCTCTCAACATGCCTTGTGCTCCCCCAGTACAGCTCTCAGCGTGCCAGATTATAATTTCCTGATTTTACATGGTGAGCTGCTGGAGGATGGGGCTCATGTCTGCAATATCCTTGAATTCTAGCTCCCAGTACTGGGGCTGGGCCCAAAAGAGAGCAGTGGTGAATGACTGTGGAATGCTTGAGTGAATGAAGAGTGTGGGTCATGGATCAAGGAGGACACATTCTGGAGACATTTAGGATCTGGTGACTGGGGAAAGCTGAGGAACAAGGGGCACTCTGGTTGGGTCAACTGGGCAGTTCCTGTAGGACATGCTGGGGCAAATATCCAAAGCAGCTGGCCATCAGGTCCAGCACTGGGCAGGTAGAATGGCCAGATGTGTTGGGGGGTAGACTCACCCTGTGCAGGCAAAGTTGGCCCAGTATTTCATCATCCGGAGGCTAAGTGCCTTCTCCTTACCTGTGGAAAGGCCTGGGGGCAGAATGGGATGTGGGATTTCAGACAGAGCAGGAGATGCTGACATCCCACCCTACTCTTGCTGCTTTTGCTGCCTCCAGAGCAGAAGACTTTCATTTGGGAGAGCATCACAGATTAGGAACTGGTGAGCTCTCTGTGGCCAGCCGATGGAGGGGTGGGTCTGCATACAGAGGTGGAAAACTGGACACCCAGTCAGGGTGTTCGGTGGGGACTTTATACCTGTGGCGAAGGGGCCCCCAAAGAGGAAGTACATCTCATCCCCATGGTCTGCCCAATCAGTGTGGGGTTTGACAATTATTCCATGAGCGTAGTGCTCAAATTCATACAGGTAGACAGGGAGTCCGGCATCTGTGAAGAGGGAAACTGAGGAGGGCTGCAGGAAAAGCCTCAGCCTAGGCTTCTCATCCACCCCGTGTGTCCCACTAACCTGCACCAAGCAGGAAAAATAACTTTGGCTTCAAAATCAAGGGAGCATATTCATTCGCTGTATGATCTAAAGCAAGTAGCTCTACCTCTCTGAATTGTATCAATAATTCCTTATCTTCAGACTGAGAATGCTAAAACCTAATTCACAGGATTGTGGCCAGGATCATGGAAGCCTTCCTTTTCCCTGTTCTGAACCTTCCTTTCTTGGCCTCTTATTGAAGGGTCTTCGGTGTCTGCAGTTTCCAGCCCCCACTTTAACCTGTCACCCACATGTTCCCCTAGCCCCAGTCAACCTGGACTTTCACGGTGCCCCTAAGCCTGTCCTTTCAGCCAGGAAGCCTTCCCTGACCACCCCAAGCTTCTCCTCTGTACTGTCTGAGGTTGCCCTTGTTCCTAAGGAAGAACAGTTCCTCTCTTATACCCCCTTTTTTTTTTTTTTTGAGACGGAGTCTCGCTCTGTTGCCCAGGCTGGAGTGCAATGGTGTGATGCTGGCTCACTGCAGCCTCCCCCTGCTGGGTTCAAGCAATTCTCCTGCCTCAGCCTACCGAGTAGTTGGAACTACAGGCGTGCACCACTATACCTGGCTAATTTTTTTGTATTTTTAGTAGAGATTGGTTTTCACCATGTTGGTGAGGCTAGTCTAGAACTCCTGGCCTCAAATGATCCGCCCCCGCCTCAGCTTCCCAAAGTGTTGGGATTATGGGCGTGAGCCACCGCTCCTGGCCCCTTCCTCTCATAGTTGATAGCATGCTGCCTCCTCTGTGGTGTTTTAGAATCCTACCCTAGCCCAGAAGTACAGAGAGGGTTGGGGAGCAGTCAATAAGCCCAGTTGGTAAACAGCACACTTGGAGAGTGGACAGGGCCAGTGTGGCCACTCATGGGGACCCCACATACCTCAGTGGTAGTGAACAGTCTGCAGCATGGCGTACACGAAAGTGGCATCTTGAACTATGTCCATCATACAGTTTCGTAGCATCTTCCAGTTATGCTCATTGACATTGTCCAGGTACTCCTCCACCACAAGTGGTACCTGCTCCTTGGTGATATTCTGGGTGGGGAGGCCACACTTATCTGAGGCCTGGGTGCCAGCTGGGCCAGAGGTGGGCCCACCAGTGACTTGGATCCAGGCTCAGCCCCCCAGGAGTTTTTGGCCTGGGAGGGGAAAAAGGGAGATTCCTGGGAAAGTTTCCATCTCTGCAGACTGTAACCCCGAATTTTGCTGCATAACTTCCCCTATGACCCTGAGCACCTTACCTATAAGCAGTCATCTGATCCCACACCAAACCCCAGGCCCTCCAAGAAATATCCTTACCCTGGATGGGAGCCCCTTTGCAAAGAGTAGCTACTAGGTTGAAAAACGGGGGGTCAGCCCTGTCCAAACTGAGCACCCCTGCCAGCTGGGTCCCTCACCAACAGGCTGCGGGTACTCCAGAGCATCTTAGTGATGGTTTCCTTTCTCATCGCCTGCCGGTTTAGCGGGAACTTCATGATCTGTTCATGAGCCAAGGACCCCAGTGTGGGTCAGGCCTGAGCATTAGGAGGATTCTGGCCAGAGCCACAAAGGCCCCAAGGGTCTTGCCCATCTAATGATGAGTTCTCAGACACAGCACACAGCCCAGGAAGGGCCCATGACTCTCTCTTGCCCGCCTGCTCCCATCCTACTCATCACTACCACCTGGGCTAGAGCTGAAGTGGTACTGAGCGGGGGTCCCTCCTGAGCTGGGGCATCTACCCTGACCCAGGAGCAAGGGAGGGCTTCAGGATTTGCAGTTGCCTACAGGCTTGGGAATGAACATCATAAGCCATCTAAACTATGATCTGAGAATTTATGGCTCTCAAATCTCCAACAGGCCATACTTTGCCCTTCTTCCCCTCCAACATTCATGGCCAGTTTTTACTGTACAGGGACTACAGGAGGCTCCCAAATATATGTGCAACCCCAGAAGGGCTACTGGCATCTGACCTGGTGCCCAGCACTGTCCAAGAGGCATCCTTCCCTGCCTCCACTGTGGTACTCACGTAAGGCAAGAGCCAATTGAACTCCTACTCACTTACATAAGGCAAGAGCCAGTTGAACTCCAGGTTGTTGACACCTAGAAGGTAGGGCACAGATGAAACCTGCCCCTGGGTCAGGAGCACCAGAGAGTCATCTGGGATCACCACACCATCCTCCACAGGGCTCATGGACCAGATAATCTACAAGGCAAAGGGCATTTCCAGCCAGTCTCCTCCAGTATCCTCCCAGGGTCCCTGCGACCTTGGGTGCCCCTTCAGAGGCTGCTCTAGCCTAGGCTCTTTGATTGCAAAAAGACTGGAGCTGGCATGGTGAGCCCCAGGAGAATGGGTGTGGGAGGGAAGCAGGATAGGGAGGACCAAGCTACATGGACTTGGGATGCTTACCGCGGGTATCTGTATAGCTCACTCCTTCACCTCTTGAAAATCTTTGCTAAATTTCACTTCACTGAGTCCTGTCCTATCCATTCTATTTAAAAGTCCACACCTCCCAACATGTCTAACCCCTTTACCCTCTCCATTCCTTGCTATTCACTTATCATCTTCTAAGGAGGTGGATAATATATTTATTTACAGAGTTTATTGTCCTTCCCCACTGGAACATCAGCTCCACTCAGGAAGGGGTCTTGGCCTGAACAATTCCCTAAGTATCCCAAGTGCCTGGCACAAAGTAGTGCTCAGTAAATACTCAAATTGCAGAATGTGGCCTGATTACCTCTTCAGGGTCTCTCTGGAAGTTCAGTTGGAGGAATCTCTGTGGGGGAGAGGAAGGGATCAGAGTTAAAGGAAGTCTCCCCAGTGTGCTCTTGTGACAGGGTCCCTGGGGAAGTAGTTGGGGGGGCTGGGTACCAGGATAGGAGGATGGCCTTCAGGTAGCCAGGTCAGGCAGCTGGAATGTTCTACCTACCATCTTGTTGGACACACGCATCGCCTTGGCCCCTGAAAGTGCCCTCAGGCAGTTTACCAGGATCTGTGTGCTGTTCTGGTTGCATCCAGCCAGGTGGGCAACCTTCTATAGAGAGAAGAAGGGATGCTCAGGGGTGCTTCCATCCTGCCCCTCCTTGCTGAGCCCTGTTTAAGGCCCAGCTCAAGTGGTGTCTCCTCTGCTGGTCACTTCCTCTTCTGTGACTCCTGATGTCCTGTCCACTTTTTTTTTTTGAGACGGAGTCTTGCTCTGTTGCCCAGGCTGGAGTGCAGTGGCACGATCTTGGCTCACTGCAACTTCTGCCTCCAGGTTCAAGCAATTCTCCTGCCTCAATCTCCCAAGTAGCTGGGACTACAGGCACGCACCATCATGCCCAGCTAATTTTTGTATTTTTTTTTTTTTTTTTGAGACAGAGTCTTGCTCTGTCGCCCAGACTGGAGTGCAGTGGCCGGATCTCAGCTCACTGCAAGCTCCGCCTCTGGGGTTTACACTATTCTCCTGCCTCAGCCTCCCAAGTAGCTGGGACTACAGGTGCCCGCCACCTCACCCGGCTAGTTTTTTTTTGTATTTTTTAGTAGAGACAGGGTTTCACCGTGTTAGCCAGGATGGTCCCGATCTCCTGACCTCGTGATCCGCCCATCTCGGCCTCCCAAAGTGCTGGGATTACAGGCTTGAGCCACCGTGCCCGGCAATTTTTGTATTTTTAGTAGAGTCGGGGTTTCACCATGTTGACTAGGCTGGTCTCGAATTTCTGGCCTTAAGTGATCTGCCCACCTCGGCCTCCCAAAGTGTTGGGATTACAGGCATGAGCCACCGTGCCCGACCTCCTGTCCACTGTTGACTGTGTCCTGGCTGGAGTTATTTCAGTTGGCTGTTTTTCTCCCCAAGTGACCATGCTCTTCCCAAGGGCAGGAATGGAGGTAGACTCATCTGAGTCCTGGCACCCAGCCCAGTGCCTTATACTGTGTGGATATTTGGGGTATTTTTGGAGCATGGGCTCTCCGGCCACCTCGCCTTTTCTCCCTGCTGGCCCAACCCCTAGGTGTCTATTCTCATAACAGCTGGGCCTGGACCATTTGGGGTGCAGGACACCCTGTTTGCCTCACCTGTTCCTCTGCTCCCTTCTGCTGTTGTCCTAGCCTAGCCTGTTCCCAGAGCGTCACTGCTCCCTTTCACCAGTCCTTCCCTACAGCATTCCAACACTCCTCAAGCCAAACCTGTCCACCCCTACCCACATTCCCAGCAACTATCCCATCTCTCTTTCCCTCAGGTCAAACTTTTTAACAGGCTGCCTTCCCCTCCACTCCCAGGAGAGACCCAGTTTCTCCAAGGTATCAGCATCTGTATCTCTATAGATTGTTTTTTGTCTTCTTTGATTGACTTCTTGGCAGCAGCTAATGTGGTATTAGAATGCTGTCTAGTAAACCACATCTACCTTCTCACTAGGAAAGCCAGGGCTCTGATAGCCAGGAACTGGGACTATGAATAGCCAAGGCTTCTGTGTCCATCCCACCCCCAGAGCCATCCTGCCATGGTCACCAGTGACATCCATCTAGCTAAATCTCTGTCATTGTCTTACTTGCCCTGACAACCCTCAACATGGTTGACCACATTATATTCCCTTTTGTTCTGTCTCTTTCTCTCTTTTTTTTGTTTGAGACGGAGTCTCGCTCTGTCGGCCAGGCTGGAGTGCAGTGGCACGATCTTGGCTCACGCAACCTCCGCCTCCTGGGTTCAGGTGGGAGATATCAGCTCACTGCCTCAGCCTCCTGAGTAGCTGGGATTATAGGCACATGCCACAACACCTAGCTCATTTTTGTATTTTTAGAAGAGATGGAGTTTTGCCATGTTGGTCAGGCTGGTCTCAAACTCCTGACCTCGTGATCCACCTGCCTCGTCCTCCCAAAGTGCTGGGATTACAGGCGTGAGCCACTGTGCCCAGCCTCCTCTCTTTTTTTAGAGACAGGGTCACCCAGGTGAATGCAGTGACATGATCATAGTTCACTGCAGCCTTGACCTCCTGGGCTCAAGTGATCCTTAGCCTCCCAAGTAGCTAGGACTACAAGCATGCACCATCACACTGGATAATTTTTACATTTTTTGTAGAGACAGGGTCTCACTATGTTGCTCAAGTTGGTCTAGAACTCCTAACCTCAAGGGATCCTCCCACCTCAGCCTCCCAAGGTGTTGGGATTACAGGTGAGAGCCACCACGCCCGGTCAGATGCTCTTTCTTGAACAGCTTTCCTTCTCTGGGCTTCTGTAAAACCCCGTGCTCCTGATTTCCCTGCCACCTTGTTAGTGGTTCCTCTTCCTCTCCAGGCCTAAGCATGAAAGTGCCCAGTCCTTGACCCTCAGTTTTTTTTTCTGATCATCCTTTCTCCCATCATCCAGGCCCAGGGGCTTCATACCACTGATGTGCTGATGATCAGTTTGCCTTCTGTCTCCTCTCTCCAGCCACCTACCCACCCTCCACATGGAACATCTGTCAGCACGTCAAGTTTAACAGGCCCCAAAAGGAACTGTGTGTGTGTGTGGGGGTGTGTGTTTTAGATAGGGTCTCACTCTGTCTCTCAGGCTAAGAGTGAGTGGCATGATCACAGCTCACTGCAGCCTCAACCTCCCAAGCCCAAGCGATCCTCCTACCTCAGCCTCCCAAGTAGCTAGGACCACGGCACTGCGCCCAGCTAATTTTTTAAATCTCTTGTAGAGACATGGTCTCACTAGGTTGCTCAAGCTGGTCTGGAACTCCTGAATTCATGTGATTTTCCTGCCTCGGCCTCCCAAAGTGCTGGGATTACAGGCCTGAGCCACTGCTCCTGGCTCAAAATGAATTCCTATTTTGCCCAAACGTGCTCTTGCTCCAGTCTTCCTCATTTTGATACATCCTATTTCCTTGTCTGCTGTGGCCAAAAACTAGTCATTATCAGTGATTCCTCTTCTTCCCTTGTGGCTTATATCCAATTCTCCAGCAAATCCTGTCAATTTTACTTTCTAAATAAATTTGGAGTCTGATACCTTCCTTCCACCTCCCCGGTAACTACTCAGGCAGAAACTACTATCTCTGCAACATCCTTCTCTCCCGCTGCCCACTGCAACCACCACCCGTGGGCTATTCTGAGCAATCCACAAATTCTTACACTTGACACTCCATTTCCAAACAGGCATTGTTCTGACAGCTCATAGTCAGTTTCTAACAACTGACACTCAGACTTCTATACAGTGAACGTCCTAACCTCTAAATCCCTGATCTCCAAGGTTCTAACAGTGGCCATCCCATGTTCTGTCACCTGATCTTTGGGATTCTAAATAAGTCACAGAATGTTCAGGATAACTGGGATCTTTCCAGTGACAGCCAATGTTCTGACAATGAACACCCTGGTATTTTAGTAACTGCTGGTTGTGTTCTAACAGTGGACAACCTGTTTCTTTCTTTCTTTTTTTTTCTTTCTTTTTTTTTTCTTTTGGAGACAGGGTCTCACTCTGTGGCCCAGGCTGGAGTGCTGTCAATGGCGACTCATGGCTTACTACAACCTTGACCTCTTGGGCTTTGATCAAGTGATCCTCCCACCTCAGCCTTTAGAGTAACTGGGACCACAGGTGCTCACCACCACCCCCAGCTATTTTTTAAAATCTTTTTGTAGATATGGGGTCTTGCCATGCTGCCCAGGCTGGTCTTGAACTCCTGGGTTCAAGCAGTCCTCTTGCCTTGGTCTACCAAAGTTCTGGGATTAAAAGTGTGAGCCACTATGCCAAGCCAACAACCTGGTTTTAACAGCTAGACACCTAGGGTGGTATTTGTATCTTTTTATATCAGCTGATATCCAGGTTCTCAGACATTTTTCTAAACCCTGTGCTTTAACCAACTGATGCTGAGCATTGTTAATGATTGCCACAGAATGTTCTGGACAGTGGATTACTCAATAGTCGGAATAAATAGTAAATACACTTGTTCTGGGTAAACTGCCAAGCACTGTGCTTCAAAGGGCAATCATTGTTCCAATTATGCTTCTGTGACTCAGGCCTCAGCCCCCAGAGAGAGGGAAGAGCTCCAGACTGGGTCAGGAGGGTGATGTGAGAGTGAACACTGCCCCTCAGACACATTCAGGAAAACGCAGCTCCCCAGCAGGTGCTGGGGCACGGTCAGTGACAGCCTCCCCCTTGCCTGGAGCTCTCCTCTAAGAAACCAACAACAAGGCTGGGCGTGGTGGCTTATGCCTGTAATCTCAGCACTTTGGAAGGCTGAGGCAGGTGGATCACGAGGTCAAGAGATCAAGACCATCCTGGCCAACATAATGAAACCCTATCTCTACTAAAAATACAAAAATTAGCTGGGCGTGGTAGCATGTACCTGTAGTCCCAGGTACTCGGGAGGCTGAGGCAGGACAATCGCTTGAACTCAGGAGGCAGAGGTTGCAGTGAACCGAGATCATGCCACAGCTCTCCAGCCTGGCGACAGAGCGAGACTCCGTCTAAAAAAAAAAGAAAAGAAACCAACAACAGCATTGTCAGTGACTTAAACACCATCGGGACCAGTTAGCTCATGATATGGGTCTGAAAACTGAGGCCCAGAATGGGCCCTAGGCCTGCCTGTGGTCACACAGTGAGTTCTTCTCAGTGAGTTGTGCAAAGCCCCACCCAGATGCAGGCACAGGCCCACTGCCCCCTCCCAGCGGACAGGCCTCTGACTCTTACCCAGGTGGGTGGGTGGTAGCATCTCTGATTCCTTTCCAGGGCTCTGGGGGTTCTGGAGGCGCAAACCTGCGGACACCTAGAAGAGGTCTGGAGAAGGGGACTCCTAAAAAGACTTGGATGGGTGTCTTCCCCACATGCATCTGTTTTCCTTGCAGGGTTCTATATTTGGTGACCACTTGAGGCTTCTTGGTGTGCAAGGCACCTGGGAAGAGAAAGGAAAAGGGGGTCACCTCTGCTTAGCCACCCAGCCACAAATGGGATCCTGGCTCAGCCACTCAGCCACAAATGGGACAAAGACACCTGGGAAGAGAAGGGAAAAGGGTCATCCCTGCACAGCCACTCAGCCACAAATGGGACGCTGGCCCATCTGTCATGGGAAGCAGCGGCTGCTTTTCATAACAATTGATCATAACCATTGTGTGTCTGTCCACTTTTTCTTGTGCTTCTCTCAGAATTTTTTCTCTCATTTAACTCCCTTCCTCCCCTCCCCTCCCCTCCCCTCTTCTCCTTTCCTTTTTGAGATGGAGTCTCGGTCTGTTGCCCAGGTTGGAGTACAGTGGCACAATCTCGGCACACTACAAGCTCCGCCTCCCAGGTTCATGCTATTCTCCTGCCTCAACCTCCCAAGCAGCTGGGACTACAGGCCTCTGCCACCACATCCTGCTAATTTTGTATTTTTAGTAGAGACAGGCTTTTGCCATGTTGGCCAGGCTGATCTCAAACTCCTGACCTCAGGTTATCCACCCACCACAGCCTCCCAAGATTTTGAGATTACAGGCGTGCACCACTGTGTCCGGCCAAAGTATTTAAATTTTTGTTTTTTTGTGATGGAGTTTCGCTCTGTTGCCCAGGTTGGAGCGCAGTGGTGCCATCTCAGCTCACTGCAACCTCTGCCTCCCGGGTTCAAGCAATTCTCCTGCCTCAGCCTCCTGAGTAGCTGGGATTACAGACATATGCCACTACGCCCAGCTAATTTTTGTATTTTTAGTAGAGATGGGGTTTCATCACGTTGGCCAGGCTGGTCTTAAACTCCTGCCCTAAAGTGATCTGCCTGCCTCAGCCTCCCAAAGTGCTAGGATTATGGGCGTGAGCCACCGTGCCTGGCCTAATCTCTTTAATGATTTATTTCACTGTGCATTTTTAATTTTGTTTTTGTCATCATTGTTTTAAGTGTTTGTTTTAGGGCTTACCACATACATTTTACCTAATCAGAATATGCTTCAGTTTTGTTTTTTGTTTTTTTGTTTTAGACAGGAAGGAAGGGGAGAGAGAGAGAGAGAAAAAGAAAAGGAAGGAAGGAAGGGAGGGAGGGAGGGGAAAGAAAGAAGAGAATAGAAAAGAGAAGAAAGGGAGAGAACGAAGAAAACACAAAGACTCCAGCCTGGATGACAGAGCAAGACCTTGTCTCAAAAAAGAGGGAAAGGGAGAGAGAGAGACGGAGGGAGGGAGGGAAAGAGAGAGAGTGACAGAGACAGAAAAAGAGACAGAAGAAAATACAAACGATAGGAGTGGGGGGAATTTTGTGTAAGGACTGACTCCTGACACAGCACTAAGCTGCAAAGGGTCTTGGAAGGGACAGATGACTCCTAGTTATCCTGCAAAACCCAGCTCTTCTCCTTCCAGGGTGCCTCTGGAGGCCAGGAGTGATCTTCTGAAGCCCCTTAGTCCTGTAAAAGGACAGAGTCTCACTCTGTCACCCAGGCTGGAGTGCAACGATCACAGCTCACTGCAGCCCTGACCTCCTGGGTTCAAGGATCCTCCCACTTCACCCTCCCAAGTAGCTGGGATCACAGGCATGAGTCACTATGCCCGGCAAATTTTTTCATAGAGACAGAGGTCTCACTATGTTGCCTAGGCTGGTCTCAAACTCCTGGGCTCAAGCAATCCTTCCACCTTGGCCTCCCAAAGTGTCGGGATTGCAGGCATGAGCCACCATGCTCGGCCCAATGCTGTCTCTTACCCAGAATTCTGGCCTGGCACTTTCCAGCCCCACTCCCCAGGCTCAGGCCAAGACCCAGGTATGCCTCCAGCTAGCCACATGGGGACAGAGGAGCAGCCCTGTACTAATGTTAGTCGTAGGGCACGGTGAGGGTCCAGGAGGTGGGCCAGGGCCAGGAGCCTGGCTGTGTTGTGGTCTGGGGCTCACAGAGGAACAGACAGGGCCTGACCAGGACTCTCCCTAGGCATATGGCGAGTCAGATTGCTTCTAGGCCTTCCTTGGGGTGGCAACATTAGGTAGCTCCCACCCTAGGGGATGGTCCTGATTCCCAGGCATGGCCCCTACTTCTCTAGTGCCTTCACTTCCTGCCCTGTCCCCTAACCTGAGAGCTTGCTGCTGCAGGACCTGTCACTCTCTCCCACACCTGCAGCCTTTGCAGATGTAGTTCCCACTGTGGCTTCCCCTGGATTCTCTTCACAAGGCCTTACAATGAGGATGTAGGGTGGGGATCTGGAGCCTGAATGGAGAGCTCTCAGGCAGCAGGTGGCTGGGAATGGAGACCCCCTCCACCATGCTGCCTGGGGCAGAGAAGGGTGCTCCTCAAGACCCCACCCTGGAGAAAGGGCCAACGATGATGTGCTTCAGGGTGGCATCCTTCAGGAAGCCCTCCCTGACTGCCCACATGCTGGAATGCAGCAGTTGTTTCCTCTGTTCCTCCTTCATCCTAGTGGGCTCCTCTTTGCTAACAGGAAGTTCCCTGCCAGCAACCCCCACTACTCTGAGACCCCAGGGCCAGCACAGAGTGGGGTACGGGAGGCACACATAGAGTAAGAGAGGGAAGGAAATGCAGACCTGAGCTACGGGCCAGGGGTGAGACTCGATGATCCCTTGGCTGGTGATGACCCCACTCTGTGTGATGGCTCTGTAGAACAGCCCTGCAGCCACTGGGGACAGGACCTGGGTGCAGTGGAGATAGCAGATGGCTGTCAGATGAGGGCAGAGGGGCTGGGAGTTCTGAGACCACCAGAGCCCTCCTGGCCACCACTGCCAGTCCCCTATGGTGACTTACCAGGCCAGAGACAATGCTTCTACCAGCAGATCCACCAAAGATGGTGACACAGTTGAGGTCACCCCCGAAGGGAGTGATGTTTCCTTGCACCCAGTGCAGAGCAGCTACCACATCTAGGAAGCCCTGGTTGCCAGGTGCATGCTCATCTCCAGTGCTGGGGGCAGTGTGGGGCAATGGTTAGTTCAGCCTGGCTCCTCGCCAGTCTCTGCAGGTTTGCTTTGAATTAGCCACCAGGATGCCAGACCCTTCTCTGCTCCCCAGGTCTGGCCTGACTGGGAGCCATGGTTGGCATCTCCAGGGCCTGTTGCTCTTTGTCCCATATCCTGCTGGAACCTGGGCTTCAGCCCAGGAATCAATGCCCTCTACAGGGACCAAGTTCACTGTATAATTCTGGCTTTGGCTGGACTGCTCTCCCAGGGTGGAGGTTTGGGTGGTGCCCTTCTCTGCCCTAGACAGCATGGGTAAGCAGCCCTCTATTCAGGCTTCAGTCCCCAGCCTAGATCCCCAGCTGCTCTGGTGAGCTGGCCACTCCCTGGTGCAGGCAGTGCTCTGGCCAGGCCCGTCATCTCACCTGAAGAAGCCAAGGACCCCAAGGTGGTACTGGACTGTAACCATGACCACATCCCCATAGGCAGCCAGGGCTGATTCATCATAGGAGGTGGCAGTGCCAGTTATCAGAGAGCCTCCATGGACCCATATCATGACCTGCAGAGGTGGCCATGGGGCAGTGACCCCCAAGATCCTGAGACCTCAGCTGCCCACCTGCCAGCCCAGGGCAGTCTCAGGACCTCTAGGGTGCTTTGGAAACGTGGACGGGGAGGGGAAAGGTGAGAGTAGTGGAGCTGGATCGGGTGGACAGGGCCCTCTGGGGTGCCTACCGGCCTACTGGCCCCTGCGGTGGCCTCAGCTGGGCTATAGATGTTGAGGACCAGGCAGTCCTCTGAAAGAGAAAAGATCTGCTGTTTTCCATTGAGGATAAATCTGCTGTTGTTCATGCTCTCCATGTCTCGTAGGCACCTGTGGCCAAGGGTGGGCCTGAGGTCGAGTTGTTCAATCCCACAAGCCCCAGCAGCAGGATTCCCCCAGTAACCTGCCGGTTTGCCCGCCTCCACCAGCACTACTCACATAGGGGGTGCACTGCTGGCGTCCTGCACACCCTCCCAGGGCTATGCTGGGCATGGGGCTGAGAACCGGTCAGGCCCCAGTGGTGGCTGGGCAAATGGAATGCCCAGGATGACATTCACAAGGCGGTCTGTGCCCTTCACGCCCACCTGCCGGCCTCACACATGACCCAGGGTGGTATGTACTTCAGGCTGAGCAACTTCGGGCCCTGAGGGAAGGACAGAGAGGCCATGGGGTGAGTTTGCAGCCCCCATGAGGGGAAGGAGTGAAAGACACACACTCGGGCTGTTCTCAGTACTTACCACACAGCACCTTGGTAACCTTCCCAGCAAGCTAGTGAGCCTGGTCTTAGGTTGACTCCCAACTTCCTCCTCCCTGCCTGCCTGAGAGTCACTACCACTCCACGCCAGGCCAGACCGGGCCTGCCACTGGGGCCCTGAGCCTTGGGGACAGCTGCTTGCCCATTTGTTTTTATTTTTTGTTTTTGAGACAGGGTCTAGCTCTGTTGACCAAGCTGGAGTGTAGTGGCACGATCTTGGCTCATTGCAACCTCTGACTCCTAAGTTCAAGCAATTCTAGGACCTCAGCCTCCCAAGTAGCTGGGATTACAGGTGCGTACCACAACACCTGGCTAATTTTTGTATTTTTAGTAGAGACGGGGTTTCACCATGTTGGCCAGGCTGGTCTCGAACCCCCGACCTCAAGTAATCCATCCACCTGGGCCTCCCAAAGTGCTGGGATTACAGGTATCAGCCATCACGCCCAGCCCTGAATTATTTTTTAAAATATAGAGACAGGGTCTCATTATGTTGCCCAGGCTGGTCTCAAACTCCGGGGCTCAAGCAATCCTTTCATCTCAGCCTCCCCAAGTGCTGGGATTACAGGTGTAAGCCATCGTGCCCAGCTGGCACCACCATATTTCTTGTACGGCCTGCAGAACTGTGGGTTAATTAAACTTCTTTTCTTTGTGAATTACCCAGCTTCATGTATTGTTTTACAACAACACAAACAGACTTAAGACGGGAGGACTGCCTCTCCCAGGCTAGATAATTCCTGGAGATAGGAGGCAGCTCTCTGGGGAGTTGGAATTGGCAAGCAACTCTCTAGGGAGCAAATGCAAACCAGTCCAGAGCCACATCCCAACTACCTCCTTTATAAGCTCTCAGCTCCTGGCTGCCATCAACCAGCCGTAATCACCACAGAGCCAGGTACCAGGAAGCTGGGGACAGCCCCTTTTCCCAGAGCCTGCTGCTAATCATAAACCTGTTTAGCCTGCCTTGCCTACTCCTTCCCACGGAAACCATGGCAAAAGGGCTTGCCCACATTTCACCCCTGCTCCCTCTGCCTCCTGGCCAATGCCACCTGGTGCTTCCCTTTGTGGCCTTGTATGGCATGGCCTGCTTCCTGTTCACAGGGAACTATGGGCAAACTCCTTCCCTCCTGATAGTCATTTGCATATCTGCTTGTCTTACTATACTTGATTAAAACAAATCTAGGCCAGGCCCAGTGGCTCACTCCTGTAATCCCAGCACTTTGGGAGGCCAAGGCGAGCGGATCACGAGGTCAGGAGATCAAGACCATCCTGGCTAACACGGTGAAACCCCGGCTCTACTAAAAATACAAAAAATTAGCCGGGCATGGTGGCAGGCGCCTGTAGTCCCAGCTACTCGGGAGGCTGAGGCAGGAGAATGGTGTGAACCCTGGAGGCGGAGCTTGCAGTGAGCCGAGATCGCACCACTGCACTCCAGCCTGGGGGACAGAGCCCGAGACTCCATTTCAAAAAAAAAGAAAAAAAAATCTCAGGCCCCCTTGAAACATAAAGACAGGGCAGGCCTGGTGGCTCATGCCTGTAATCCCAGCACTTTGGGAGACCAAGGTGGGTGGATAACCTGAGCTCAGGAATATGAGACCAGCCTGGCCAACATGGTGAAACCCCATCTCCACTAAAAATACAAAAATTAGCGGGGCGTGGTTGCAGGCGCCTGTAATCCCAACTACTCAGGAGGCTGAGGCAGGAGAATCGCTAGAATCCAGGAGGCGGAGGTTGCAGTGAGCCGAGATCGCGCCATTGCACTCTAGCCTGGGCAACAAGAGTGAAACTCCATCTCAAACAGACAAACAACAACAAAAACAAATATAGCAAGAGCAGAGCACCTGCCCAGAGAGAATGCACAACCCCTGGTCTGCCTCCAAACAGGACTCTTTCCTGAGCGGTCTGCCCACTGCTCCCTGTACCTGTCTCACTCTTGACTTCTCCACACTAAGTCCCTCTGCAGGCGCAGCACGTGTGTCTTACCAGTGGCTATGGCAGGGCATGCCAGGAGCAGACAGGCCACCACGATAAGGACCCCAGACTCCACTCTCACTGCTGTCTCCATTCTCCTGGGGCCTTCTTCCTTCTGGTGGGTTTGTGGTCTCGCTGTCAGGAGTAAAGTTGCAGACCTTCCGGGTGAGTGTTGCAGCTCCTAAAGGCACTACGTCTGGAGTTGTTCGTTCTTTCTGGTGGGTTCGTGGTCCCGCTGGCTTCCAGAGTGAAGCTGGAGACCTTCGCAGTGAGTGTTACAACTCCTAAAGGCAGCGTGGACCCAAAGAGCAAGCAGCAGCAAGACTTATCGCAAAGAGTGAAAGAACAAAGCTTCCACAGTGTGGAAGGTGGATCCAAGCAGGTTGCCACTGCTGGCTCGGGCAGCCTGCGTTTATTCCCTTATCTGACCCCCACCCACATCCTGCTGATGTGTAAGAGAGCTGATTGGTCCGTTTTAACAGAGTGCTGATTGGTGCATTTACAATCCTTGAGCTAGACAGAGTGCTAGACAGAAAGTTCTCCAAGTCCCCACTAGGTTAGCTGGATACGGAGTACCAACTGGTGAATTTACAAACCCCGAGCTAGACACAGAGTGCTGATTGGTGTATTTACAATCCCTTAGCTAGACATAAAGGTTCTCCAAGTCCCCACTAGACTCAGGAGCCCAGCTGGCTTCACCTAGTGTATCCCGCACCCGGGCCGCCGGAGGAGCTGCCTGCCAGTCCCGCGCCATGCACCCGTACTCCTCAGCTCCTGGGCGGTTGATGGGACCGAGCGCCGCGGAGCCGGGGCGGCGCTCGTTGGGGAGGCTCGGGTCGCGCGGCAGCCCACTACGAGGTGGGGTTCGGGCATGGCGGGCTGCAGGTCTCGAGCCCTGCCCCACGAGGAGGCGGCTGAGGCCCGGCGAGAATTCGAGCGCGGTGCATGCGGGCCGGCAGTGCTGGGGACCCGGCGCAACCTCTGCAGCTGCTGGCTCTGGTGCTAAGACTCTCACTGCGCTGGGCCGACGGCGCCAGCCGGCCGCTCAGTGTGCTGGGCCCGCCAAGCCCACGCCTGCGCCCGCCGGAACTGGCGCTGGCCCACGAGCGCTGCACGCAGCCCCAGTTCCCGCCTGCGCCTCTCCCTCCACACCTCCCCGCAAGCAGAGGGAGGCGGCTCCGGCCTTGGCCAGCCCAGAGAGGGGCTCCCACAGTGCCGGGCGCGCTGAAGGGCTCCTTAAGCACCGCCAGAGTGGACGCCGAGGCCAAGGAGGCGCCGAGAGCGAGGGCCGCTAGCACGTTGTCACCCCTCACTGGGATTACAGGCATTAGCCACCACGCCCAGACGAAGATCCGGTTGTTTAAAGGAGCCTAGCAGGCCAAGTGTAGTGGCTCGTGTCTGTAACTCCAGCACGAAGCCGAGGTGGGTGGGTGGATCACTTGAGCCCAGGAGTTCAAGATCAGCCTAGGCAACATAGTAAAACCCTCTCTCTACAAAAGATACAGAAATTATCTGGGCATGGTGGTGCGTGCCTGTAGTCCCAGCTATTTGGGAGGCTGAGGCAGTAGGATCGATTGAGCCTAGGGAGTTGAGGCTACACTGAGCTGTGATGGCACCACTGTACTCCAGCCTGGGCAACAGGGCAAGACCCTGCCTCAAGAAAATGAAATAAAAAAATTAAAGAACCTGGCACTTATCTTGCTCTCTCTCTCGCCATGTGATGACATCTTCTGCCATGATTGTAAGCTTTCTAAGGCCTCACCAGAAGCTGAGCAGGTGCTAGCACCATGCTTGTACAGCCTGCAGAACTGTGAGGCAAATAAACCGCTTTTTTAAATAAACTACCCAGTCTCAAGACTTTCTTTCCTTTCCTTTTCCTTTTCCCCTCCCTCCCTCCCTCCCTCCCTCCCTCCCTTCCTTCCTTCTTTCCTTCTTTCTTGTTTCACTATTGTTGCCCAGACGAGTGCAATGGCACGATCTTGGCTCATCACAAACTTGGCCTCCTGGGTTCAAACGATTCTCCTGCCTCAGCCTCCCGAGTAGCTAGGATTATAGATGCCCACCACTACGCCCAGATAATTTTTTTTGTATTTTTAGTAGAGATAGGGTTTCACCATATTAGCCAGGCTGTTCTTGAACTCCTGACCTCAGGTGATCCACCCACCTTGGCCTCCCAAAGTGCTGGGATTACAGGCGTGAGTCACCTCGCCTGGCGCCAGGTATTTATTTATACCAGTACAAAATGGACTAACACAGGGCCAGTGTCCAGCCTTGCCTACTAGGGCTGTGCCTGAGCCTTGATGTGGGGTTGGGGTAATTGATGTTGATTTTTTTCTTAAATTGAGGTGAAATTCACATACAATTAACTATTAAAAAGCATACAATTCAGTGGCAATTAGTGTATTCCAAATGTTATGCAACTACCACATTTCTAGTCACAAAAATGGTTTCATCACCCCAGCAAAAACACTGTAACTATTAAAGGCTGGGTGGAGTGGCTCACACCTGTAATCCCAGCAGATTGGGAGGATGAGGTGGGTGGATCACCCGAGGTCAGGAGTTCCAGACCAGCCTGGCCAACATGGTGAAACCCAGTCTCTACTAAAAATACAAAAATCAGCCGGGCCTGGTGGCACGTGCCTATCATCCCAGCTACTCAGGAGGCTGAGGCAGGAGAATCGCTTGAACCCGGGAGGCAGAGGTTGCAGTGAGCCGAGATCATGCCACTGTACTCCATCCTGTGTGAAAGAGCACGACTCTGTCTCCAAACAAACAAAAAGCCATAAAGACAATCATGGCCCCTGGCAGGGCTGCCCTTGGCCATCATTCAAGATAGCAAGAGCAGACCGGTGCAGCGGCTCATGCCTGTAATCCCAGCACTTTGGGAGGCCAAGGCAGGTGGGTCACTTGAGGTCAGGCATTTGAGACCAGCCTGGCCAACGTGGTGAAACCCCATCTCTGCTAAAAATACAAAAATTAGCTGGCCATGGTGGCAGGTGCCTGTAATCCCAGTTACTCAGGAGGCTGAGGCAGGAGAATCGCTAGCATCCAGGAGGCGGAAGTTGTAGTGAGCCGAGATCGCACCATTGCACTCCAGCCTGGGCAACAAGAGTGAAACTCCATCTCAAACAAACAAACAAACAACAACAACAACAAAAACAAATATAGCAAGAGCAGAGCGCCTGCCCAGAGAGAATGCACAACCCCTGGTCAGCCTCCAAACAGGACTCTTCCCTGAGCAGTCTGCCCCCTGCTCCCTGTCTTGTCTCAATCTTGACTCCTCCACACCAAGTCCCTCTGCAGGCCCAGCAGGTTTGTCTTACCAGTGGCTGTGGCAGGGCATGTCAGGAGAAGACAGGCCACCCCAACCAGGACCCTGGACTCCACTCTCACTGCTGTCTCCATTCTCCTTATAACTAGTTGGACAGAAGCTTCAGAAGGTGGAATAAGATCCCTGCCCTTCAGCACAACCAATCTCTAAAGGGCTGTGCTATATAACCTCCATGGACAGCCCTGCCTAGCTGGTGGCCAGCCCCTAGACCCAATGCCTCATGCTCAGGCTGAGCCAGAGGCAGGGCTGGATGAGTGCCCTGCAGAGGCCTGGATGATACGACAGCCCTTCCCGACCCACTGTTTTCAAATTCCAGCTCTCTTGACTTGGTGATCTCCATGAAATCCCGTGCCTTTATCTCAAGATGACCACATCACTGACCCGAGGAAGTGGTGGCCAGTGACCCTGGGGTGCCACTCTGAGTGGGCAACCTGGCCTGAGGTGAGGGCTTGATATGGTTTGGATGTTTTGTCCCCTCCAAATCTCATGTTGAAATGTGAAAGAAAATAGAACAGTGATGATAATAGGATCCACCTCATAGCACTGAAGTGAGTGTGCATGTTTCAAGTGTGTGCGTGTGTGTGTGTGTGTGTGTGTGTGAGAGAAAACATGAGGCTTGGGACTGGGTGTGGTGGCCCATACCTGTAATCCCAGTGCTTTAGGAGGATGGGGCAGGAGGATCGCTTGAGCCCGGGAGTTTGAGACCAGCCTGGGCAACACAGGCAAGGAGACACGTCTCTAGAAAAAATTAAAAAATTAGCCAGGTGTGATGGTTCATGCCTGTGGTCCCAGCTACATGGGAGGCTGAGGTGAGAGGATCACTTGAGCCCAGGTTGTAGAGACTGCAGTGAGCTGTGATAATGGCACTGCACTGTAGCCTGGGCTATAGAGTAAGACAAAGAAGGAAGGGAAGGGGAAGGGAAGGGGAATGAAAGGGGAAGGGAGGGGAGGGGAGGGGAAGGGAAGGGAGAGAGAGAAAGGAGAGAGAGAAAGAAAACGAGAGAAAGAAAGAAAAAGAGAAAAAGAAAAATAGAGAAAGAGAGAAAGAAAGAAAGGGGGGAGGGGAGAGGAGCAGAGGGGAGGGCGGGGGAGGCAAGGGGAGGGGAGGGACTTGGAACCAGAACTGATGGAAGCCTGCTCTTGACCAGGGCAGGGATCTGCAGGGCATCTGTCTCTCTGCTGGCTTAGGAGACTCCCACCCCAAGGGAGAGCAGGACTCACTTCTGGGCCTCAGTGTCAGGAACATGGCTAGCTGGGAGTAGGCGGTGGGAGGATGGCTGGGAGTATGTGCTGGCCCAGTGAAGGACAGAGTGAGGGTTGTACCTAAACACGATGCCAGATCCTCTTCTGGGGCTCCAGCTGGCACCCAGAGCTGAAGAGAAAGGCTTTAGGATGAAACTTCCCTTCTGCCAAAAATAACCAGTGCCAGCTGGGCATTGTGGCACAAGTCTATAGTCCCAGCTACTCAGGAGGCTGAGGCAGGAGGATTTCTTGAACCCAGGAGCTTGAAGCCAGCTTGGGCAACATAGCAAGACTGTCCCCCCCCCCAAAAAAAAAATTGCAGCTTCCTGAATCATCCTGGCAGCCTGGGGTGGGCTTTGCTTTTCAGAGCTGCCTCCAGACCTTTGTCTTTCCCTTCTCCACCTTCCTCTTCTTGTTGCCATCACAGCCCTGCCACTCCCCAGCCACACACCCTCTTGATCATTTGCTGAAGATTTTAGCACCTGGCTCTGGCATGCTTTCCACCTTCAACACTCAAATCAAGACACCTGGATCTCTTCTCTGCCTGCAATCTTACCTTCCATCTTCAGGTGTGGATGCTGTCAGGCGAGATCTCTGCTCCCAAGGCCAAGTTTCCCAACTCCCTGCAGCTAGGTCTGCCCTCCCTCCTAGCATTGCGGATGGGCCTACCAGGGTCAGGACTAGGGTGAGACAGGCCAGCAAGACACCCAGGACATAAAAGTTAAAGAGTCACTCACCCCCGGGGTCATACCAGTAGAGGGTCAGCACCTGAGAATGAGTGCCTTCTAAATTTTACACTTGCTTGTCTTGCTCTAGTCCCAGCTCTTGGACCTACCCATAGACATTAGACCCTGGTCCCCTCCCACCTCCTCAGGGCTGTCTCTTCAGCAGCAGCATCCCTCCCATCAGCTGCAAACACAGCTTCTGTGTAAATGCCACCATACAAAGCCTGCCTTGACCCACTTTGCCCTCTAGCTATTGCTCCATTCCTCTGTTTTTCTTTTCCTTCCTTCCTTCCTTCCTTCCTTCCTCTCTTTCTTCTTTTTTTTTTTTTTTTTTTTTTTTGGAGACAGGGTCTCACTCTGTCACCCAGGCTAGAGTACAGTGGTATGATCTTGGCTCACTGCAACCTCGATCTCCTGGGTTTAAGTGATCCTCCCACCTTGGCCTCCCAAGTAGCTGGGACTACAGGTGCATGCGTGCCATCATGCCCGGCTAACTTTTTATTTTTTTGTATTTTTTGTATTTTTTTAGAGATGGAATCTCCCTGTGTTGTCCAGGCTGGTCTTGAACTCCTGGGCTCAAGCAATCCTCCTTCCTCCACTTCCCAAAGTGCTAGGATTATAGGGGTGAGCCACCACGCCTGGCCCTTCTGTTCTTATTTCTAGCAAAGCTAGTCATCCACCTTTGCTGTCTCCAGTTTCTCTCCTTCCAGTCTCCCCCAGAAGTTGCTCTTGACCTCCACCCAACAGCATGGCCTCTTGTTGATTCCATGTCTCCCATCCAACTCATTGTGGCCCCAGCCATCCTCCCAGCCTCCTGCCTTGGTAGATGCTAACTCTGCCCTTAATTCTTATGGCCTAATTAATACCTGGGCTGTGGCTGCTAAGAGGTCCCTAGCTCCTCCCAGCTCAGAGTCCAGTGACAAAGTTCTTTTACATTAACAGGTCAACTTCTTCCAAATCCCTGGGCTGCTGTCCATGACTACTGGGGTGAACATGCCCATGTATTCCACCATTTACTCTGCTATCATTCAGAGGTCTTGGCATTGATGATGACTGAGGGAACCATAAAAATGTGAAATGAAGGCCAGGCTTGGTGGCTCACAGCTGTAATCCCAGCACTTTGGGAGGCTGAGGCAGAAGGATCACTTGAGCTCAGGAGTTTGAGACCAGCCTGGGTAACATAGTTAGACCCTATGTCTACAGAATTTATTTATTTATTTATTTATTTATATTTATTTTTAATTTTTTTTTTGAGATAGAGTCTCGCTCTTCACCCAGGCTGGAGTGCAGCGGCATGATCTCGGCTCACTGCAAGCTCCGCCTCCCGGATTCATGCCATTCTCCTGCCTCAGCCTCCCGAGTAGCTGGGACTACAGGCGCCCACCACCACGCCCGGCTAATTTTTTTTTGTATTTTTAGTAGCAACGGGGTTTCACCGTGGTCTCGATCTCCTGACCACGTGATCCACCCACCTCGGCCTCCCAAATTGCTGTGATTACAGGCGTGAGCCACCGCACCCGGCCTATTTTTTATTTTTTAGCTAGGCTGGTGGTGCACGCCTTTAGTTGCAGCTACTCAGGAGGCTGAGGTGGGAGGATTGCCTGAGCCCAGGAAGTCAGGGCTGCAGTAAGCCATGATCGTGCCACTGTACTCCAGCCTGGATAATAAAGGGAGACTGTCTCAAGAAAAAAAAAGTGAAAGGAAAAGAAGAGTCATCTCAGGAGCACATTTATCTGTGTGTGAGGAAATATTACATATATAGTAAATGTAGAGAGATGGAGACACACACAGAGAAAGAAAGTCAGAAGCAGAGACTAAAAGTCCAAGGAACCAATTGCAATGAGATGCCACTACACACCCATTAAAAAAAATCAGGGTCAGGTGTGATGGCTCACACCTGTAATCCTAGCAATTTGGGAGGCTCAGGTAAGAGGCTAGCTTGAGCCCAGGATTTTGAGATTAGCCTGGGCAAAATAATGAGATCCCATCTCTACAATTTTTTTTTTTTTTTTTTTTTTTTAAATACGGAGTCTCGCTTGGTCGCCAGTCTGGAGTGCAGTGGCACAATCTCAGCTCACTGCAACCTCCAACTCCTGGGTTCAAGCAATTCTCCTCCCTCAGCCTCCCCAGTAGCTGGGACTACAGGTTCACACTACCACCCCCAGCTAATTTTTGTATTTTTAGTAGAGACGGGGTTTCACCATGTTGGCCACGATGGTCTCAATCTCCTGACCTCGTGATCTGCCTGTCTCAGCCTCCCAAAGTGCTGGGATTACAGGCATGAGTGACCGTGCCCCGCCACAGAATTTTTTAAAATGCCTATATTGCTGGCTACTCAGGAGGCTGAAGTGGGAGGATTCCTTGAGCCCAGGAGTTCAAGGTTATAGCGAGCTATGATCATGCCACTGCACTCTAGCCTTCGTGACAGAGAGACCTTGACTCTAAAAAAACAAAAACTAAAACCTGAAAAAATCAGATTTAAGGTCCATAAGACCAAGTGTTGGTGAGGATAGAAAGCATCTGGAACCCTCACGGATGGCTGGTAGGGTTGCAAAAATGACATAGTCATTTTGGAAAACAGTTTGGCATTTTATTTAAAAAAAATTCTGGCAGGGCACAGTGGCTCATGCCTGTAATCCCAGCACTTTGGGAGGCCAAGGTGGGCAGATCACTTGAGGTCAGGAGCTCAAGGCAAGCCTGGCCAACATGGTGAAATCCCGTCTCTACTAAAAATACAAAAAATTAGCCAAGCGTGGTGACGGGCACGTATGATCCCAGCTACTTGGGAGACAGGAGAATCACTTGAAACTGGGAGGTGGAGGTTGCATGGAGCCAAGATCATGCCACTGCCCTCCAGCTTAGGTGACAGAGCAAGACTCCGTCACGAAAAAAAAAAATCTATTTATTTATCGTGTAGTGTAGATATTTATTTATTTATTTAGAGAATCTTGCTCTGTTGCTCAGGTTGGAGTGCAGTGGTGCAATCTCGGCTCATTGCAACCTCCGCCTCCTAGGTTCAAGCAATTCCCGTGCCTTAGCCTCTCAAGAAGCTGGGATTACAGGCATGTGCCACCATGCCCGGCTAATTTTTGTATTTTTAGTAGAGACGAGGTTTTACCATGTTGGCCAGGCTGGTCTTGAACTCCTGACTTCAGGTGATCCTCCCACCTCAGCCTCCCAAAGTGCTGGGATTACAGGCATCAGCCACCACACCTAGT